TTATGCAGAATGTACTTTACCTGGAGAGCCATTCCACCAGACCCTTCAGGTGATTTTAATAAAATCTAAGTTTGTATTTGTGTGTCATTGCATTCTGGCAGTTGATGAGACAAATTTAGCACTATATTTTTGTGTAAGTTGCTTTTAAAAATAATGTGTTTGTATCAGAAATCATTGTTGCAGGCATGCTAACTCAGAACAGACTGACTCACACAATTAAAAAGTTCATGGTCTGTTTGGCCATCAGTATTTCATTACCTCCAAATTGTACAGACTTCTTTCCGTTCGTTAACCCCTGTTTTAAACACACCTTTTTATGTGTGTAAAATAGCTTCTTCCTTCAGATTAGTTTCTTTCATTTGTGTTGACTCTGTACCTGCGTCTTTTAAAAAAGCTTGTTCGTTTATTGCATAATTAGTGTTATTTATTGTTGCTTATCTTTATAAGCTGAAGTTTGTCACCGTGTGTGCATTAGAAACGCAGTGACAGGGCTAGGTGTAGTCAGGTACTCACAAGCAGCATTTACATTTCTTTATTTTAGAAATGTTTTTATTATTTTCTTCTCGCTCTTTGTGCTGTGGCCTGTCTCCCCTTGCTTCTCTAGGTCTAGTGCTTCCATGAGTCACTTGCCGTTTGCTCTTTTGTCCTGTCCAACTCCTCCCCAGGGAGGGATCTTCATTTAGTTGACGTGGATAGGTGTTTTATGTATGTCTGTGTGCTGTGTGTGTGCCTAGTGCTTCAGACGACAGAACAGGGCATCACATCCTCTAGAACTGGAATTACAGATGGTTGTGAGCTGCCATGTTGATTCTTAGAATTGAACCCAGGTCTTCTGGAAGCTGAACTGCTGGGCCATCTCTCCAGCTCCTGTTTTAATTTTTCAAAGGCATACTTTACATTGAGCAGTGCAGTGTGCATATTAAATAACACTTAACACTATAATAGAATGTTTTGATAATAACTTTAAACAGAAGAAAAGGAGAAAATTTTAGATTGTAATACCTCTTACTAAAATAAAACTTATGAAATGACTTTTTAAAAGTGGGTCAGTGTGACAGATGTGTTCCATGACAGGAACTCTTGTCTAATTCTTTTTGTGTTAATGGTCAGTGAAAATAAAAAGGCAGCCAAATTTTCACCATTGCTCCCTCAAAGGAGGAATGCATCGGATTCATTTGAAATTCAAAAAAAAAATGGTTTTTGCTACTTTAGAAAGCTGAGTTTGTATATCCACCAATATAGAGAAAAACAATAGTGTTGAAACTAGAAAAAAAACAGCTGTATATCCTTTCTTGACTCATGTCTACATAGCCTACATACCATTCTACTTTATTACCCTCTCTTAAATTTTAGATTATCCTCACTTACTCATATATGTATGTATGTGTGCATGCATGCATTATACACTAGGTTTACATATGAGAGAGAAGATACTCCTGTTTTCATTTATTTATGCGTACATTATGTACTAGGTCTACATTATGAAAGAGAAGACGCACATGTATTTTCATTCTTAGTTTGGTTCCATTCTCTTAATTACACTTCTAAGTTCATCATACTTCCTGAAAGTTTCATGAATTCCTCCCCCTTTTTTTCAACCTGGATAATACTTCCTTTTGAGTATGTGCCACATCTTCAGTATCCAGTCGTCTGTCAGTAGACATCCAGGCTGGTCCCTTCTGTACTGTTGTGAGTAGTGCAGGGACAGAAGACGGGTGTGCAGATGCCTCTGTGGTAGGCTGTGGAGCCTGAGGGCGTGTGCCCAAGAGTGGCAGCTGGTTCCTATGATAGTTTCCTTTCTAGTTGTTTAAGGATCCTTCAGACTGTGTACCATAATGACTGTTAATTTGTACTCCTGTAAGTAGTAAGGGCTTCTTTCCCCCCACCTCCTTCCTAAGATTTGATGTCAGATTGCTTGATGATAGCTGTTCTGCCTGGGGTGAGGTGACATCTCAAAATTGTTTTAGTATAGTTTCCTGATGACCAGAAATGTTGGATGCTTTTAAGAATAGCTACTATTTTTTTTTCTTAGAAGTGTTTATTTCATCAGTTCATTTGATGATTTACTGTTTTATCTTCTCTGTGTTTGAGTTGTGGAGTTATTGTTAAATTGGGGTTGTCAGCCTTTTATTATCTGAAATGCAGCTGATACAGATTTCGCCCACCCTGGTCTGCCTGTGTGCAATCAGCTGGTAGCTCTTCGTCCTGCTGAGCAGAGACTTCAATTTTATGGAGTCCTGTCCATTGACTTGAAACTTGCTTGTGCCCTTATACTTCTGCTGTGAAAGTTTGCCTACCTCCAAAAATCCCAGTGTTTTTCTCTCTTAGTTTCAGGGTTTAAATTCAGGTCTGTGATCCAGTTCTACTTCATTTTTGTGTAAGGTGAAAGATATGGATCTCCTTCCTTTTCCTGAAGGTGGTTTCCAGTTTTGTCTACATCATTTGTTGAATAGACTGTTTTTTTGAATTGTATTTTTTAATACCTTTGTCATAGATTAGGTGACCATTAACTTTGTCTGTTTGTTGCCAAGTCCTGTATTTTGCTTCATTAGTCTGATTTTTTTACGCCAATCTATCACCAGGCTATCTTTGTCACTATAGATTCCTGTAGTATAATTTGAGGTCAAATGCTGGGTTAACTCCAGCTAGATTCTTACTTCTTAGGATTGCTTTAGTTGGTGGTGTTTTTTGTTTCTGTTTTTTTTTTTTTTTTGGTGTGTGTGTGTGTGTTTCCATAATACATTCTTGAATTGTGTTTTCTAGACCTATCAAGTATGACATCAGAATTTAGGTTATATCATTTAGCCTATAGATTTTTTTTTTGTAGTGCAGCTATTTTCACAACATTAATTCTGCCAGTCCAGGAGCATGAAAAGATTTCCATCATCTAATTTAATCTTTGATTTTCTTTTTTAGTGTCCTGAAGTCTTTTGCTTTTACTAAGTATATTCTGAGATTCATATAGGGTGTTTTTGTTTCTTTGAGTTAATGTGCATGAGATTTCTTTCCTAATTTTTTGATGGTTAATTGCTGTATATGCAGGCTGCTCTTTTAAATTGTTGTATCCTGCAACTACTATGTTTATTAGTAGCTTCCACGAAGTCTTTTTCAGTAGACTCTAGTCTTTTAGTTATACGATCACACCATCTACAAGTGAGAATAGTTTGCCTCCATTCCTACTTTTATCCTGTGTTTTTGTCTTGTCTAATTGTTCTAGCCAAGCCTTAGAGCACTATATTGAATAAGAGCAGGCAAAGCGTGCTGGCTCTAGGCTTGTTGTATCTCACCGTCGTTGTTTTCAGTTATGCTTTACCAGGACTTGTGTTTGGTTCCCCCCTTCCCCCCCCCCCCCCAGGGTTTCTTTGTGTAACAGCTCTGGCTGTTCTGAAATTAGCTCTTGTAGACCAGGCTGGCCTTGAACACAAGGAGATCCACCTGTCTCTATCTCCTGAGTGCTGGGATTAAAGGCGTGCACCACCATCGCCTGGCTGGTATATAACTTTTATGTCTTAATTTTGTTACTTCATTCAGTTTATCAGTGACTCAGTTGCTGTAGGGCGAGAGCAGTAAAGCTGCCATGTGAGTGTGGTTTGTGCTGCAGTCATTGCTTGTCCCTGAGGTTAAGGTGGCTTTAGAAATGGACAGACATTTAAAATGTCTTACCATAGTTTAATGAATGGAATGACATAGCAGAATCCGCATCCACCTCTTTTAGAGTGGCAGGCACTCCGCATTTCACCTCATATTTCCCTTTCTTATTTGTGTGTTGTTATTTTGGGCATGAGCTAGCAGGCTTCGTCCCCAGCACCCCGGCCGCCTGCTAGCTCATGCCCAAAATAACAACACACAAATTGTATTCTTTTAAACACTGCTTGCCCATTATATCTAGCCTCTTCTCGGCTAACTCTTGCACCTGGACTAGCCCATTTCTAATAATGCGTGTAAGTACCCCAAGGTGCGCTTACCGGGAAGATTCTAACCTATGTCCATCTTGGGTCGGAGCTTCATCGCCTGTGCCTCAGAGAGCAGAGCTATCGGGAGAGCGGAGCATGGCGTCTCTGCTCTAGAGCAGAGCTGTCGAGTCTGACCTCACTTCCTCTTCCTCCCAGCATCCTATTCTGTTTACTCCTCCCACCTATGTTTTAACCTATCAGGGCCAAGGAGTTTCTTTATTGCTTAACCAATGAAATCAACAGATTGATTTATGACATTCCCACATCAGTCATGTGGAGGAGGTCACCCATGCACCTGCCCTGTTACACCCCTCATGTCATCAGTTTTTCTTTTAAACATATGAGACTGTCGCTCACTTGGCTATCCATTGATACTGTATGAAGATCTTCAGCAGGTTGTTAATAGCCAATACTATGATTCTAATCCAGAATAAATATAATAGCTCTCCACTTCTCACTTAGGATACAGCATGGTGGTCATTAAAATGCTGAAGAAAGTGACATATTCAACAACTACAATTAGATATTTGAAACAATTGTAAAAAGGAATAGCTGCAAGTGGCTTTTATCTCAGGAAATTGCGTATTTTAAATAAATGAAGAAGGAAAATCAGTTATCTAACAAAACCTTATTTACTTTAGTATCTCAAAATTGAAAATAGGTAATACTTTCAGTGTCAGAGTCAACATTAGACACTGGATGTTATATTTGCAAATAAAATACTGAGAAGCCATAAAAGCATTCTTAGAAAGCAAGTCTGGGTCACCCTTCCATTCACAACTCTCTGCCTCTTAAGAATATAATTTCCATTTAAAATATCGAATTTCTGAACAAATTCCAAACCCACCAAACACAGAACCTGTGCCTCAGAACTCTAGCGCTTTTAGAAACACTTGATATTTTAACTTGACAGTACAGACAAGGAGCTTTGATTCCAGAGGCATGGGGTAAGTATTTAAAATCTCACATATTTTTCAGTTTTAGAATATTTTATATATTTAACAGGATATAATTGGGGATGAGACTCAAGTATAAACACAAACTCAATTATGGTATGAATATAATTTGTAAACCTAACCAGAAGGTAATTTTGTAAATATTTTAGTTCTCCTAGGTTGTAAATGCAACTGTTTTGGAGGATACGGTGTAGAGTTTTTGACCTGTGAAACTCTACTGTCAATCAAAAGTTTCAGATTTTGAAAAATGATGTGGGAGTCCTCTCTGTATGCTGTGAATACCACTGGTGAATGAAGAAACTGCCTTGACCTGTTGATAGGGCAAAAGAACAGAGCTAGGTGGGGAAAACTAAACAGAATGCGGAGTTGAGGGAGAAGCCATGTAGCCCAGCCAGAGACGGATGTCGGAACTTTAACTGGTAAGCCACAACCACGTGGCAATGCACAGATTACTAGAAGTGGGTTAAATTAATGTGTAAGAGTTATCCAAAAGAAGCTAGAGCTAGTGGGCCAAGCAGTGATTTAAATAATATAGTTTCTGTGTGATTATTTCGGGGCTGAGCAGCCAGGAACCAACAAGTGGCCTCCTTGCAGCAGAAAAACAATGAAATGTGAACTTTTCAGGATAGGAACATTGAGCTTCTTCTGTCTCAGGCCCCAGAATCCACCACAAAGGACTGAAGCCACAAGAAAGGCTGTGAGTCTTAAAAAAAAGTTTAAAAAAACATAATAATTTCTTTTAAATTGACTATCCTGATAAGGAAATCATGAAAATTTATTAATAAACTTAAAGTGGAACACAAAATAACTACGAAGCCTATTTACCACAGCTGAAATGTTAGAATTCAAGTAAAATTACTTAATAACAAATTATTTGTATTTTATTTCCTAGAGTATATAATTTTCAGGTAAAGCCAAACTTTATCAAATTACCTTTCTAAAAATAATTATTAATGACAGAGTAAAGATAAATATAAGTAGCCACTCAATTATTTTCAGGCATTTGTCTTGAAAAAAAGAAAAAATGGAATGAAAACTAATAAACACACAACTAGCTAATAGTCATAAAAATAGCATCACACCATCTACCAAACAGAGCCAAATTTCTGTACTTGGTTCTATAACCACAGAAGTGAAATTTAAGTCAGGGTGGGAGAGATTCATTTTGGGGGTAATTTTTAAATTTTGGATAAGAACAGAAAAGTACAATTTAAATGTTTTATTTCAAGATGTCAAATATCACCAGGATTAATATCTTTTTTTGTAGTAAAACTATCACAATCCTGACTAATCTCGTAGCTGTATTATATGTACAAGTCACCATAGTTGGTTTATCTCTCTACCAGTTACCTCTACCACTGAAATAATTATTGTTTTTCTAAATTTTTCTGGATCCTTTAGGATAAAAACAGAGTTAAAAACATAACTAAATTGAAAAGTTTGCACAACTGCATATATACATTGAGAAACCACTACAGATAAGTACACGGTAAATAATCGTAATCATTCTACATCTACTATATCTATGTATCTATCTAGAAATTTTAACCACCTGTCTAAACATAGGTGTATGTGTAGATGGGCATTATAAAGTAGTCCTCATTAGCTCAGAATTGAGTATAATAAGGGTTCTTTATTTAGGAGTAACCGAATCTAGCAGTTGAGAGAGTGAACATGCATAAGCCTTTCGGTTGCATTTGTAGTAGAAGAGACCACGTCCACGTGGACTGGTAGCTTAAAGGCTCCTGGCTGTAGACGTTCCCACAGCATGTATGTGTATTTACTGTACATTAGCAGAACAAATTATTCCATGAGGGACAGAACCTCTGTAGTATTCTTTAGATTTTATTGGCATCAGTTGCTACCATAATACAACCCTTTTTATTAGTTGTTTGAGACTTTTTAGATGACTTGGCTAAAACTGTATTAAAAGGAACACAGGAAGTGACAGCCTAACAGAATACCTTTTCAAGTTTTAATTTTTATTAATGGGACTTCTGGTATTATCCTTGGACCTGAAACTGAGCTGTTGTGTTTGAGAACCTAATGAGTAAAAGAAATCCACGAATTAAAAAAAAATAAAAATAAAAACAAAAAATTTTATTAAGGATGAAATGATAAATGTTAAATAATGAGAAGAACGGCCTCAAGCACCTGCAGTCATATAACATGGAGACAGAGAAATGTCACAGAAGTAACAGGCCCAGTTCTCGCATAAAGCGGTGACAAGGGGTGAGGCCTGGGGAGAGAGGAGTGGAGCAAGTGACTCAGGGACATGAATAAGGCCTAGCTAACTTTCTCTTTATTCTAGGGGTCATCCAAACCTGTCAGCTTGGAGCCAAATGTCACAGCAAAACAACCCCGGACCTCTTAACTCTTTTTTTTTTCTTTGTAAGTTTAACCTGGTGTGTTTTTATTTACCAGTGGAACTCGGTCTCTGAAAGTGGGTGTCTTGGTAATAGAATGTGATTGATTATGTTAGCAGTCACAAAAACCTATACATTGTATGTTTCCACCAGAAGTTTCAGGGAGCAGGTTAATTGTTTCCAGAAGCGTGGGATGGGAAGGAGAGGTTGACTCAGGAACCTGAGGAAATGTTTTTGAAATGGTCAGTGGCACTGTAACCTAATTTTCTCAGTGTTGCCGGGCTGTATGCATTTGTCAAAATTTATAAGATTGTTTATTTTAAAATGGCAAACTTTAAATAAATCGCAATACTACAAAGGCGATTAAAACATTTTTAAATCATGAATAAATGCTTGCATTGACGATAGAATGAGAAATCATTTGTTTAAGAGTGTATCGATACTAATTTTAGAAGTCATAAAATTTCTTAGTAATGGCCATAGCAAAATTAAAAGGGTTGTATTTTAGTAATGTAAAGGTTAATTGGGTAGGGTTTTTGTGAAAGAAGAATATGGAGAAAAAATTAGTTCTAAAATAACTTACTGGTTTGTTTGGTGATTTTTGAACACTCTAGCTAAACCAGTAAATATTTTACATGGCTGTGTTAGTTTCTCTACCCTCTACTTGGTAATTACTGTTCTGTTTCTGGTACTAGTTTTGCCTCTTCTAGAATGTTCTGTAGGTACATCACCCATCATGACTGTATTAATACAGTGACTGAGTTTCTTCATTTAGTATAATGCTTTGTTTAGACATATCCGTATTATTTACTTGACAGCTCTAATCATTTATGTGATTAACTGAGGATGGTGCTTTTAAAAAAACATACTTGTTGGAATAAATTGCCTTGTAGTTACGCACTCATAAACTTGAGTGTGTGCTACGGAGCGGTCCTCCACCTTCCTCACGCTGGGACCTTATATCCCTCCCCGTGTTGTGCTCCTCGGCCATAGCATTGCTGCTGTTGCTACTTCGTTACTGTAATTTTGAGACTGTTATGAATCGTATGTAAGTATCTGTATTTTCAGATGGTCTTAGGTGACCTCTGTGAAAGGGTAGTTCCTCTCCTGGGGTCATGACTCACTGGTTGAGAACCACCGTGTTTAGGGATGGTAAACACCTTCATAGTCCAGTGAGCTGTTAGAGCCGTCTTTGGTTCTGTTTGTTATACTGTATTACATTTGGCCGTTTTCATACCTGTAAATTTAGTCAGTTGACCTTGATTTTTTTATTTGTCACAGCTAAAATTTTGGGCTTAGGATGAATTTGTATTAAGTAGTAGATAGGAAATGTTTTGGTTTTTGTTAGAATTAATTTTGGGTCATGAGGTATTTTTATCATGTTTGATATTTATTCAATAGCATTCATTCAGTAATGTGTTAAGTGGTGAACATTTTGTAAGCATTTGCAGATGTGTAAGGTGCTGTAACATATACACAAGCTAGAATAAAATGTAATTCCTAGTTAATACAAGGTAAAATAAAAAGGATGTGTGTAGTGATATATCATTTGTATTCCAATAAATAAATCTTACCTGAAGACCAGAGGCTAAGCTAAAGCCACTAGAGGTCAGGCAGTGGTGACACACCCTTAATCCCAGGATTTGTGGGGACAGTCAGATGAATCTCTGTGAGTTCAAGGCCACCCTGGGCTACACAAGATCAATGCAGAAACAAATCCTGGTGGTGGTGGCCTACACCTTTAATCCCAGTCCTAGGGAGTCATGCTTTTAATCCCAGCAATAGAGGGAATATAAAATGGGAGGAGAGAGAGGCTTAGTCTGTTTTAGTTATCATATGTATCAAGGTCGCCCAGCCTTGGTAGAGGTAAGACTTCTCTAGAGGCTTGGCTGCTTTGCTTTTCTGCTTTTCGGTTGATTTATTTATTAAAATATAGATAATATACCACTGTAGATGTGGGTGTGTAGTCACCAGACTTTCAGGTGGATTGTGGCTTAAAAGTAGAGAAACTGCTCTGTCTCATGACAAAGTCCCTGTGAAACTAAAACAGCTATTGTTTAAAATGTCACAGAACATTTCTCCTTCTGTCGTATTGTTAGGTAGAGCTAGCTAGTTGACTATGCAGTTAGCGCACCGACTACCGAGAGGGACAGATGACTTGAGGCTTCATAAGTATGTTCTGGAAGCTTTTCACTGACGCTTTGGCACATCTTTCCTTCTCTACAGGCATGAGATGGAGAGTCATGCTTCTCAGAGTCACAGCCCTTTCACTTTCTCAAGTACATTTTAGTTTTCATACTGGAGTGTCAACACTTGAGTTAAAACCTTTGTCTCCTCACAGAGGCAATGTACCGTAATAAAAGCTTCGATTATAACATTTTTACAGACTCACTGTGCTTCTGCTAATCGTTAGAATGGGCGTTGGAAGTCTTTCTAAGACTGCTGTGTCATGCAAGAAATTTTAATAGCACAGATGGTAGAATTCTTTTGGTGGATTGAGTGATAGCTTCCTTGCTGTATGATTTGGAAGAACATTGGCCTATGAGAAGAACTCGTGCCCATCACAAGGTAGAAGGTGATCTGAGCAAACCTTCTATTTGTATATCTATAGAGTGTAAATACTTTAGTGTTACTCGTCCAAGACATTTAGGAAGCCAGTGTGTGTGGGAAATAGTAGAGATCTTATTTCTGTTCTTACATTTGTCAATAAAAGTTAATGTTGGTAAACTATAATTAAAGTCTGGGACATGCTCAGATATTTTTTTTTTAGGGTTTTCAATAGTTTTTATTATGAGATCCATTAACCACCTTGTGTCTTATCTCTGTCGTGTAGCCTACCAATTTTCAGTCATATTCTAAGCTTTTGGGTTGTTTAGAGATTGGTATATTTGCCTCTGTTTGTTGAATTAGGAACGGCAGGGCTGCGTCCCCGGCACCCAGCCGCCCGCATGGCTAGCTTATGCCCGAAATAATTACACAGAAACTGTATTCTTTCAAACACTGCCTGGCCCGGCTAGTTCCAGCTTCTTATTGGCTAGCTCTTACATATTGTTCTAACCCATTTCTAATATTCTGTGTAGCCCACAAGCTGGCTTACCAGGGAGGATCTTAACCTGCGTCTGTCTGGAGCGGGAGAATCATGGCGACTCCCTTACTAAGCTTCTTTTTCGCAGCATTCTCTTCTGTCTTTCTCCGCCTACCTAAGGGTTGGCCTATCAAATGGGCCTAGGCAGTTTCTTTATTAGTAAGAAATCACTCCCACATCATTTCCCCTTTTTCTGTTTAAACAAAAAGGAAGGCTTTCATTTTAACATAGTAAAATTACATATAGCAAAACAGTTATCAAACAAGAATTACAGTTACAATATTTATATCTATTTTATCTCTTATCATAACTAAGGAAAACTATATTCATTCTTCAACTCCATCAAAGACTCCAGAAGGATATAATACTACCTAAGTAAACAAGAAATAAGAAAACTCTAGAAATGACAGAGACATCTCGCTGCCTGGACAGTCACCCAAAGTTCTTTGGTACCTTTGGGGCATCCATCTTCGGCCTACAGGCCCATAGTATCCAGCAGACATTCTCATCAAGCAAGAAATTCCAAAGACAGTTCAGTCACTTTTTGCTGTGTCCTGCAGAATGTCTCACAGACTCTTTCATGAAGCAGGAACCCCAAAAGGTCATCTCACCTTTAGGCAAGTTCAGCAGTCCTCTCTCTGCGGGTTCTCTGTGTCCAGTTTATGCAACAGTCCAGGCAAGAGCAGTTTCTTGCCCAAATGGCTATCAAACTCCATAAGGATCCTCTTCGATGCCCATCTTCCTCTTGAAGTAGCTGGTGCTGCCAGGAGCAGACGTGTCTCCTTGTCATGAAAAGTCCTAAGTTATTAAAATATTTTAAATGCCATATTCTGCAGTCTTTGAAAGATATGAAGAATGCCTATCTAATTGAAATATATCTCTATATATCTAGAAAATCTAACTAACATGACTACAAGCTTAACTATTAGCAATGATTATCCATTAACAACCTATATTTCCTAATTATACATTACATTTTAAATGAACTACATAATCACAATACCTTAATCAAGTTCAAAAATACATATACATATAACAAAATTGACCTTAAAATCCATACCAATGCAAATTATTCATATCTATATCATATCCCCCTTTAAATGTAAAAGAACATTTATAAACAATATTTGGGAACATGGGCGTAGTTTTTTCTCTCCAAACTGCTTCCTGCTGAATGGGGGCACTGTTAATCAGATCATTTAGGGTGTAACCTGTGTGTCAGGTTCATCTCGGTTGGCAGTTGAGTGAAGTAATTTTTTGAGGGTGTTCACAGCAACCTTTCAGGAGGGCGTGGTCTATCATACCATACCGGGATAGATGCAATCCATAGGGTCACATCCTCTGTGGAAACAAAAGAAGACCCTCTCCAAAGCATCATATCCTTAGATCCAAATTTTGAAGTCAAGATACCTTTAGAACATATGTGCAGGTTCAGCTTAGCAGCCCATATAATAAAATGTCTCTTTGTACTTAGCTCCTTCACAGTCAAAAATTTTAAAGAAAACACAATGTACATAATCCAGACTCTCTGTGAATTTTTCATTTTTACGTGGCTTATTTTTCTTTATTTCTCTTAATCTATAACTATCTGTACTTCTGTACTCTGTCTCTTTAAAGACTTTACCCTTTTTCTTTTTAAGACATTAACTTTATTCTTTATATTCTCTTTTTTTCCCCAAGCCTACGTACATTCATCCAACGGTGTCTGAATCTGTTTTACTGTGAATCTGTAATTTTTTTTTTTTTTTCCAGGAGCATTTCTTAAAATGTTAAGCATTTCTTAAAAACTTAAGTTGCACCATGTATAGGTAATACGGTACTGCCTGTGTCCTGCCCAGTCTAAACCTTAACTGCACGGTTTTAAGGTAATTACGGTAGTTCCTGCCTGAGATCAGCACAGTTCAGCAAGGAGCAGCCGCTCCTGCCTCAGAGTCATTTGGTGCTTTTGAGCTGAGCACAGTTACAGGCAAACAGCAGTTTACATTGGAGCCGCAATCAGCAATTTAATTTTGAGACTGAGTGTGCAGCACAGAAACTCTTTTTATCCAAGTTACAGCCAAATCTGACACGCAGAGCACTGCGCAGTCTGAAAACGCGTCTCTGTATGGCAGCAGGAATCCGCCATGCTCTTCCGCCTGCCTAAGCCTGATTCCGCCATCTGCCCAGGTGTAGGCAGGGAACGCTGAGCCATCGGCAGGTCTCAGAGCAATCTCCTCCGATCCCAAGTGGGAACAGAAACATCCAGTCCCATAAAAGCCTTGAAATGCTTTAAAGCCAGAGTTCACGCTGGCAGCATAGCACCAGGAAGCCGCGCTTTAAAATGACGCAGCTTTTTTTCTCTGCTGCTGTTGCTGAATCAGGAATCTCTCTACAGCATGTCACCAACAAAACAGCAAAAATCTGTGTTAAACTCTGTTTCCCTTATTTTTAAGGCTTCTCAGGTTTTTAAGTGGATTTAGCCCCACGTTGGGCGCCATCTGTTGAAATAGGAGCGGCGGGGCTGCGTCCCCGGCACCCGGCCGCCCGCATGGCTAGCTTATGCCCGAAATAATTACACGGAAACTGTATTCTTTCAAACACTGCCTGGCCCGGCTAGTTCCAGCTTCTTATTGGCTAGCTCTTACATATTGTTCTAACCCATTTCTAATATTCTGTGTAGCCCACGAGCTGGCTTACCAGGGAGGATCTTAACCTGCGTCTGTCTGGAGCGGGAGAATCATGGCGACTCCTTCACTAAGCTTCTTTTTCGCAGCATTCTCTTCTGTCTTTCTCCGCCTACCTAAGGGTTGGCCTATCAAATGGGCCTAGGCAGTTTCTTTATTAGTAAGAAATCACTCCCACATCATCTGTTAATAAAGATACAGTGAATATTGGGTTATTCAGTTTGCTCTTAGCCTCAGAGCTGCTGTAAAATTTTACTTGTTCATCTGGGTCTTCAGCAACTGTTTATGCGGCTAACATTTTCTGACTTCACATTGTTGTGTTCTGTTTGGTTTTCCATCAGTGAGGTCTAACTATGTATTAGATAAATCAGAACGAGGGAGAAGTCAGTCTCGGCGTTGTGTAGGACCTTCCAGTTATTTCTTGAATTCAAAGGAAGAGGCAGGATTGGTTGAAGAGGTAGAAAAACAAAACAAATCAGAAAAAAAAAAAACTTGAAGAAATCCTTAAATTTCTGATAAAATAATACTGAAATTGGTTATACAAAATGGTGAAATTCAGATTCTGCCACATATCAGCTCTGTGTCTTTGAACAATCATTTATTTCATTTATAGAACAAGTGGTAGGCACTGTGATCTGCAATCACCTTTCAAGTCTAGACATCCATAATTCATTCCTAGATCCAGTGCTTAAAATAGAATGTGCTGGGGCTGGAGAGATGGCCCAGTGGTTAAAAGCACTGATTGTTCTTTTAAAGGACCCAGGTTCAAGTCTGTTTTGGACTTATAAGTAGAGAGGAAAACAGAATATATGAAAGCAGAAAAGGGAGGACCCTGAAATGTCCTAATATGTGCTTTAACGGCAAGTGTAGATGCACGACTCACTCAATGCATTATGTAAAGAAAAATGGGAACGTTTTCACATCTGGTCTCTTCAAAGAGACAGGGAAGTTTTTCAGGATAACTGGCATGCCTCTGGCTGAGACTTAATATTACCTTGATAATACACAGATGTAATGAGGTTTGGCAAAAAGTTAACATAGCATGTTACACTTACCTGTACAATTACAAAGCTTGGGTTAATCGTTTCTGAGCAGTGACATGCTTTGATTTAGTTCCTCTCCGTTCCCCAGTGCTGAATC